CTAATAAAGTAAATAAGTAGTATTTCTCTCTCTCTCTCTCTCTCTCTCTCTCTCTCTCTTTCTCTCTCTCTCTCTCTCTCTCTTTCTATCGGATGAATATTGCAAAAATTCTACTACCGTTATGCATGCTTAGACGGTGAGGTCATTGTACCGTCGTACTCTTATTCATTGACGAAAGGAAGATCATAACGATGAAAGATCCATCGGTGAACAAGGCACGGTATTATTCTAATTTATTCGATAAACGCTCGGTCGTTCGAACGGATGCTCTTTCATTTCAATTTCACGACCTTCTAAAAATCCATAACGGGTACCACGAAAGCGTATCCTGTACAAAGTATTTTAAAAGTCGCATGGTTTATTTGAACACTCGACTTCTTTTTAGATTTATTATTTGCTCAATTTTTATTAACATTTGTTACAAATGAGAAATCTTTTCTTCTGTAATATTATTCGATGTATCACAGTTATTGAAAAACAATAACCGCCGTTTTTCTCAGCGTTGCCTCGAGTAGTTTGTAGCAGTTCAGTGAAACCTATGTGCTGTGTCAAAACATTCTGCGTGTTTGTCTGTATGTCAACCTAAGGAGGTACGTTCTTTTGTTGACTCGTTCTCATTCACATTCATTGTGAATCATTTTATCTTTCTACAACAAGATCGTGCTAGTGCATAATTCGAATAATTCATCTACTGTACTCTTATTTATTATTTCATCACCGCCGGTAATTTTTTGCACGATCAATTTTTCTTCTTCTACTTTGTTGAGAAAAACATCGGCCATTTATCTTCGCTACGGTCCTCCTCTTTTGAAATAATTTCGAGGGAACGAGAGCAGTCTTCCATAAATGGATTCGCCGGACGAAACTTGACGGCACAAAGAAACTGCTCGAAACTTGTCTTATATCGTGGTCAGGGTCTGACGAATTCAGGTCGACCGCGCACCACGGTCCTTAAAGGGCTTGATCAAGGACGATGTTCCGAAGGACAAGCGGTCCAGGTCGGGATGCGTACGGTAGTAGAGCGTTTCGCGAGTTTTACGAGCAGTGACGTCATCGCAAAAGCGACGAGAAGACGTATCTTTGTCTCTCCTTTTTCGTCGCTCCATAGCGTGTAATCTAGCTAACATAAGTTGAATGTACTTTGATGGAGATTTAATTGGCGGCTTAATCTCGGATGTATTTAAAGTTGGTAATTGAAGAACTGCGGTAATTGGTTGATAATTGAAAAGGAATGTTCTATTAAGTGTTAGTTGGGGAAGATGTGATTCAAATTTTTTCCGAAATTTATGTACGAGAAATGTTATCAATAAACACACTGAAAGTATCGCATGTTTGCTGATTTTTGTTTGTTCCGGTTGTTTTTTTCAGAAAAAAATTTTGTTTTGAAAGTTTATTTTAAATTACACGGGCATTCAATCGATTTTTAAAAGCTTTCGAATCTATTTTACAATTATTCACACGAAGGCAGAAGTGGAAATAGGAACGTCAAAATTCGTAGTTATATTTAGTTCGTGAGTCAGAGTTGCCAGTGGCTTATGTTATTTTCGAGAATCACCGTTTCGAAATTTCGGATAGCAACTATCGCGACTAACTATTGGCGTTGAAAATATTTTAATATAAACATCTCCTTCCACAAACTAAAAGAATTAAATCAATTGTATGACGATACTATAAAATTGCTACAACTGCAGGATAAAATATTTCAGAAATTGTTGAAAAATATAAATATAATATAGAGATGTTAAATTTTTATGAGAAATTTGTATGATTTTTTTTTTTCAAGACATTCAAAGCCGATAATATTGATTAAATCACCGTGACATCATCATGCGTAACCCAGATTTCGTTGCCGAGTTCGTGCCACGCGAATCGGGGGTGCTGAAATTTGGCAAATCGGTCGTTCCAATGACTAGTAGTGGTTACAGCTGGTAGGATTGCGTAATGCTCGCCTCCCGTAAGACGATATCCGTCGCGAAAACTTAGATCTTGCGAAGAGTTGAGTTACCGTAGTTCGTTCGTTCTCGTCGTGTCTCTTTCCTTCCCGCCTTTCTCTTCGCTCATTCTTTCCTTTGCTCTCGCAAGGGTCTCGCGAGGTCTAAGATTACCCGTGCATGCTTTTCTTCGTGGTTTTCGTCTTTTGCAGTCGGCACGATCGATATCCCGAGCGTAGCAACAAGAGAATCGCGTTAGCGGAGGGAAGGGAGGGGAGGGATGACCGCTGCCACAGCGAAATCTATTTCGTGACTTGCCTATCGGGAAAAGAAATCCCGGTACTTGGGATCGATTTACGTTAACGTGACCCGTATTTGTCGAAGATATTCCGAGACAGACAATCGACTGTAGCTGGAAACGATTCTTTCTTTACTCGGGTTGCGGAAGAAAGATTCGATAAATATGAAAATCTAGATATATTCAATTGGTGATCAATTATTTTGAATCATTTTCTTTTCTGATATTATAACAATTTACAGAAAAACAAATTGCTTTTACAATTGATATGTGACTGATGCAAGAAATTAGTGAAAAATTATTTATAAAAATTTATTAAAAAAACTAAACAAATTAATATCTTCATTGCGTCTCGATATTTGCATCACCGTTTATTAAATAGAACGGCTGGGAGAAGCAGTGCCAAGAAATTTATGCTCGAAAATTATGCAGGACATACGCGCCTCGGAATTAAATACGAAACCGCCGGTCTTGTAATGATAAACAAAGAGGAGCGCTAAGGACGTACAATGCAAACATAGGTTAAGTCCAGCCCAATTTTTCACGTGACGCAAGGTTAAGGCCGGTTTATTTCGTTTGTTGGCACGTATCGCAGACGACTGCGGATAGGTTCGCGGTCGTTGGTCGGTCGGTCTTTTGGGTAACGTGATGGAAGACACTTCGAGAAGCGAACCGGAGCGAATCAAGTCCAAGCGGGTATAACTCATTAGCGGCTTTTACGTAATGCAATTAGCATGGCAGGCCTCGCCTACCGCTTGCGACTCTGCCTTTGATGTGTTTGCCGCTCTTATGGGCGCGGTCGTATATCCTGGCACCTGCATTTTTTTCACGTGCGAAAAAGTCATCGAGACACGCTTCAAGAAATAGCATCATGATTAGCGATGAAGGGCGAGCGTGACCTGAAATCAATGTCGTGATCATTTATTGCCAGTCGCGACGGATCGGTTTATAGACGTTTATACTTTTAACGAATTTCCATTAAACAATCGCAAATCTTTCTTCGATAAGAACATGTTTTTGATCACAAAATGGAGACATGTCGAATTAGTTTGATTGTAGAACAGAAATTTAATTCAACTCTTCAGCTTAATTGTCGTGACATTTAATTTAAAAAATTAAAATTTTCTAGGATTGCAAACATGGCTAGTTTAGTGTACTTTGTATTGTGTGCGTTATAAAAATACAGTGCTACTTTTGTTATTTGATCATATGAGTCAACATTGTGTACTTGCCACCAGTCTTCAAGGCGAGTCGCTTCTGTCATACAAACTCTGCGATTTCTAAATACGTCGCTGATCGAACTCGGCATTAACGTGATGTAACAACTTTGTCGTAATAACTCGCGTTTACACAAAACTCAACGATGATGCTATCTGCGAGCCGTGCAATAATATTTGCAGTCTTTGAGCGGCAGCGTGCTACCGAAGTCACGTGTAATACTTTAAAATTAGTTTTTAGCAGAAATTTAATTTTAAATGCATCTGCCAAATCGTATAAAAATCTTTTCTCATAATTTAAAAATAATAATAGAGACGAGAATATAAAAAAAAGAAATAATGGTGATTAAGTCCAGTGGATACATCTCGTGCACATTTTATCAGAGTGCTTTCTTTCTCTCCAAGTGAATTTATTCGACGAACGAATGTAACGTATCACGCAAACAAGTTATGTTGAAAGAATTTGGAATATGAAGTACAGAAAGTCTGCGCACATACACGAGCGGCGATCGCTTTGCGATAAAATGTAAATTCTCATCGATCGTTGAGTCATCGAGTAGCAGTCTCGCTCGATAAGAAACACGCAGAAGGGCGCAAAGTTTAATCCAGATGTTTTATGGAGAAATACGTAGCACGAGTTTCGCATATTTATCATACTAACTTTTTTGTTGGAAAATTATGGGATTGAAGATGTTATCGTCGCGTGTAAAACGAGGTCGAGCAAAAGGGAGGACAGCTTGCAAGAAAGCAACCACCTTTAAAATATCGATTCGCGTGATATAGATAGTGGAAGCCATGGTGGTATGGTCTGCCATCTTCTCCGTCTCGTCCTTCGTCCTGCCGTGTTTCGATTCTTTTATTACCCCCACGGCTGTCGTAAAAAGCAGGCGTCCCGATTACATTGTGGCTCTCATAACCCACTTTCGTCGCGAAGGACGATGTTCTTTTGCAACGAGATCCTTTACTTCTTTTTCCGCCCAATCTCAATTAAGTCGTTTCCTTGAAACGACAGATCATAATCACATTGTTATAACGTGCTACATATTTATGAATTTAATCATGGACGTAGCAAAATTTAAATCCGTAATTAAATTTTTAATTAAAGGAGAAAAGCGGTAATCCATATTACGAATTTGAAATTTCTCTCCACAACTTAGACGTCGTCAAACTGAAGAATTAACAATTTGATTGGAGTATTTAATGCAAATTTCAAGGAATTGAAAACTCGCTTACGTAAAACATGGATTTGTCATTAGATACATCGCACTTTTTCATACTGCGAAAGTGTAATCGATATCTTGTTGTACATCTGTAACGCAATGCGTGCGTGTTGTACGAAAAAATGAGATCGATGTTTGACATATGTTATATTAACTTACGCGCACGCACTTAAGGAGATGAAACCTACGCATGGTCAAACGGAGCGGGCGTGACTCACGGGTCGAATGCATGAGTAATACGGTCATTATTACTGGGTATTCTCGTTGCCCCATTTCTAGATCGGTCAGGGGAAATTGCTCGTCAGCATTGCGAAGGACACTTTTCAAGTGTCATGCCGTTTTAACGTTCTCAATCTTATCAGCGACATTCATTCCTCGTTCGTGAATCAGAAAAATTCCTCCGCTTTGGTTTTCTCGCGAAAAGAAATTTTGCGTAAGTATGATTTTTGAGATGGAAATTTTATTCATCATTTCGCGCTGAATCAATTGGCGACATTCTCCAGCATTCTCGCCGCACGCGAAGTGAATATTAACGCGAACTTGTAAATTCACGTCAGTAAGTACGTATGCGTATCGTGAATGAATTGCCGGATGAAATATTAATATGGCTATTAACATTAATAGCAATCGATATTAATAATAAATTATCCACAGAATTACAGCATAATTTGGCTGCTGGCCAAGTGACTGATATATTTAAGCTTCAAGGTGGAAGCTATCGCGTTAAAAGCTAGTTGCAACATCGCCTAAAATTAATTTTTATTAAGTAAATTTGTTCTCTGTTTTTTAGGCGCAATTATAATCTTATATAAAAGCGATAGATCACAAAAGCTCTGACTTGTATAATTAAACACGACGATGTTAAATCATCATATAACGTTTTGCGTAGATTGCATTCGATTTCGTTTATTTAATGAAATAAATTAATGTAAATTATAATAATTGTGCGAAATCCGCTATTTTAAATAACGCAATATAATTTTTGATTGTGCAGGTTCACGCTAAACACGAGGAGAAAACAGAAAGCAAATCAGTGTACAGGGAATACAACCGAGAATTCCTGTTGCCGAAAGGAACCAATCCTGAGAGCATCAAGTCTTCCCTGAGTAAGGACGGTGTCCTTACCGTGGAGGCGCCATTACCAGCGATCGGCTCCGGAGAGAAGCTAATCCCGATCGCACATCAGTAAACTCGCAATGAATCGAACGCAGAAAATCGATTTCTAATTTCCTGTCTGAAATTCCTCCTGTTCCAAGCACCATTCGATTTATCCAAATTGGACTTTCCTTCCTCAAGGTAAATTTTGCATCCTTATAATCCTTTATGTAACTTAAATGCAAATCGATTCATTTGCGCGAGAGTTGTTCGACCAATCTTAATAATAGAAACAGCGCCAAATGCAGCATGGTGCGCATCGACTCATTAACTAAAAAGAAAATCAAACGTAGATGAATGTGCTATATAAGTGAAAATTCAGAGAAAATATTTGATAAAGCCCTTTCCTTTTTCATACGAAGCAGCTTTATTCCTTTGATACACAAAATATTTCAGATTTCCTCGTAGAGGTAGCATAACTTTTTTCAGACATGTGCATTGCCTTTTGAAAAGATATATTTTAGTTAGATGTTTTTTGGAGAGAAGCTGTGAGCTATATATCGCTTACTTGTGCACCGCGTCGTACCAACGAATCGAAACTATTACAAATCAACGGAAAAGCGACCGTTTGTAATGGCTAACTTACCTATGTATTAGTTTAGGTGTACGTTAAAAGACTATAACACGATGCTTAGTATGTAATAAGCATTATATTGATATTATTTATGAATATTTTAATATTTTCGAAATGCAAAATATTTAAAGGTAATGCGAAACATAAGTTTAAATAAAAATCAATGATAAACAAATTTGTAATT